AGCATTCCTGCACCAATGTCTTAGGTTTCTTCTCTTGCTCCTGTCTCGAAGGTTTCCGTTTATCATCTGACGGAAGGACTTGTGAGGACATCAACGAGTGTCACCTCAGGAACGGCCACGGTCCTTGCCAGGACACTTGCGAGAACACTTACGGCTCCTATAAGTGTTCTTGTTCAAATCTTAAGGGTACGCGGTTGGCAATCGACCTGCATACCTGCTCAGATGTGAACGAATGCCCAGATGGAACCGCAGGTTGCTCACATAGTTGTGTGAATACTCATGGAAGGTCATTTTGTACATGCCCAGATGGTATGGAGTTGGGTTCTGATTGGAAGACATGTCAGGGTGAGTAGAATCTTAGTAGCTTAATCTAATTCTTTGTATTAAACTGCGGCTTGTCAGATGTAACCTTATGGATGGAATAGCTAGGCAACTTACTTCAATTTTAACTGTCAACTTTCTCGATCCTTCTCTGAAAACTTACTTTCATTGGTGCACGGTTAATGTCTTAAATGCCCCTAGAAATGTAGGATACTTTTTATGTAAAACAACTATTCGTTACTTAATTTCATTACTACTACTACTCCTACTACTCCAAGATGCTTTATATAACTATGCTTTTTCTAAGTTAGCTATTTTTGTGTAATATTATTTCTTAGTCTATTATTAAATACATTTTATAGGCGATAAGAAATTGTTGTAAAATTCAAAACAATTAATAGTTTAGGCACAGACAAAATAGCTATCGCCACAGACAGCTACTGGAATAGGCCAGCAGTTTTAAATTTTCGAATTGCCGACAGAGTACACCACCAGCAGAATTTTAGGAAGAATCAAATGCAGTGGCCCGCATTCCCACGCGTATCCTAGCAACATATGAACAACACTTTGGTAGGGTTGCCAGGCGTACATACGGATTTCTTTTGCACACTTCTTTATCAATATCTGTTTTTTGCTTTACTGTATTTACTTAAATGTATAATGTATGTATTGATAAAAATGTTTTTAAAGAATCAACGAATATCTATAGTTCATTTTATACTTATAGTAGACATAAAAAGTGTCAAAGTCTGCCGGTAAGTGTGATAGGGGGAAAGTAGGGCAAGACAATTTTTAAATATTCGTAGAAAATAAATTTTATAACAGCTAATTTATTTCACAAATCATAATGCTCTTATCAGGTATACTCATCTAGATAAATTGAATACAAAATTAATGAGAAATAAAGTGATATTAATCAATAATTACATATCTTGTCAGGTATTCAATTTAAAGGTTGCTCCGCTTTACCCTAGGTGGGCGGGATCTTGAATCGCCGGACGTGGGCCCTGTGTTGCCGATATGTAAAAATATTCCCTAAATGAATAATTGATAAATTGAATGAAATTAATTTATTCAGATATTTACGTTTAAAATATTAAGTTATGTTCTGAAAATATAAGAATAGGCTGAATTTGCATACATTTATTTAATGAATAATTGCATTATTCACTTCATTCTTGA